CTCCTTGCTTTCCCACCTAAAAGTCCAATTGTATGCTTCTTCGGCCATGCCTGCTCGAGGCTGGGCCGAGCCCATTGCATTGGGCACGAACGTTCGGCTCCAGGTCTCAAATCCAAAGAGCAAGGAGAGAAAACTGCACCTGGGCCTCTTTAGCACATGGAGAGCTCTGCAATGGTGCTACATGCATTGGGCTCGCTCCTCTCTTTCCCACCTAAAAGTCCAATTGTATGCTTCTTCTACCGTGCCCGCTCAAGGCCAGGTGGAGCCTGCCGCACTGACCATGAATGTTCGGCTCCCGGTCTCAAATCCGAAGAGCAAGGAGAGAAAACTGCACCTGGGCCTCTTTAGCACATGGAGAGCTCCACAAGGTGCCCCTTGCACTGGGCTCGCTCCTTGCTTTCCCACCTAAATGTCCAATTCTATAGTTCTTCGATAATGCCCGCTAGAGGCTGGGCAGAGCCCGTCGCATACAGCACGAATGTCCGGACACTCTAGCACATGGAGAGCTCTGCATCGGTGCCACTTGCATTGGGCTCGCTCCTCGCTTTCCCACCTAAAAGTCCAATTGTATGCTTCATTAACCATGCCCGCTCCAGGCCAAGCTGAGCACGTCGCATTGAGTACGAACGTCCGGCTCCTGTTCCCACAGCCGAAGATCCAGGTGGGAAAACTGCTGCTGAGCCTCTTTAGCACTTGGAGATCTCCGCAATGGTGCCCCTTGCTTTATATTCGCTCCTCATTTTCCCACCTAAAAGTGCAATTGCAAGCTTCTTCGTCCATGCGTGCTCCAGGCTTGGCCGAGTCTGTCGCATTGAGCACGAACGTTCATGTCCTGCTCGAACAGCCAAAGAGCCAGGAGAGAAAACTGCTGCTATGTCTCTTTAGCATATGGAGAGATCCACAACGGTGCCACTTACATTGGGCTCACTCCTTGCTTTCCCACCTAGAATTCCAATTGTATGCTTCTTCGACCATGCCCACTCGTGGCTGGGCCGAACCCGTCGCATTGAGCACAAATGTCCGGCTCCTGCTCCCACAGCCAAAGTGCCAGGAGAGAAATGTTCTGCTGGGCGTCTTTAGCACACGGAGAGCTCCGCAACGGTGCCCCTTGCATTGGGCTCGCTCCTCGCTTTCCCACCTAAAAGTCCAATTGTAAGCTTCTTCATCCATGTCCGCTCCAGTCTGGGCTGAGCCCGCCGCATTGAGCACGAACATTCAGCTCCTGGTCTCAAATCCGAAGAGCCAGGAGAGAAAACTGCTGCTGAGCCTCTTTAGCACATGGAGACCTCCGCAACGGTGCCACTTGCATTGGTCTCGCTCCTCTCCCGAGGTAGGGTCTGGAGCTGGAGGAGCTTTAAAACCCCCTTCCAATCCCAACCAGTCTGATTTTGTGGTGTTACCCTCCATGGAACAGAGGTACTGTGTGCAATGGCACTTAGGGCTCTGGTCCCTGTAGACCAGCCTGCCCATCGTGCCACCTTGTGTGTCAGAGCAGGGTGAGGCTTTTCTTTTTAGCCAAGGCCCCTTCCCAAGCCCCAATTTGCTCTACATCCTGCCCCTGGGCACAACACTCAGCTCAGCTTCTCTCCCTAGTGTGCGCCGGCAACGGGTCAGAAGTGATCGGCACCTTTTGCAGGTCCATCACCTTCTACCTCCAGAACCTGGAAGGAGAAGCTGTAGCCTGGAGCTTTCACAGTGATGTTATAGTGACCGTGAAATTCGGTGATCCTCCTGAAGCCACGTTTTTTGATGACAACTACAAGCCACACTTGGCCTTCCCCAGGAACGGCAGCGCACTCACCTTCTCCCAGCTGAGGATGGAGGATGCTGGTACCTACACTGCCAAGAGCTCAGGGGTGAAATCCACCTTCACTTTACACATTTATAGTAAGAACCTTTTACTGTTGAGGTTTTTCTTTACACTTTGTGCTAAATGGGGGTTCTGACAGCCCCCTGCTTCCCACAGGGGAGCTGTCAGTGCCCACGGTGACCTGCATGGTGCAGAACTGCTCAGCTGGCATCTGTCGCTACATCCTGTGGTGCACCACATCTGCAGGTGGGAGTGTGGCTCCACGTTCGATTTTCCAGCGGGGGGGTTTCCCATCGCAAAAGCCACCCATGAGGTCCCCAGAAGGCAAAAGGACACCAGTGGGGAAAGCTGAGTCTCTCTGCCACTGCTCTGTCGCTGCTCTGTCTGCAAAACCACTTGTCTTCACACAGCATGTCACCTCTTTTCCATGTGGGACCATATTGTCATGGAATAAGGGTCCCTGTGAAGCAGGAAAGGGCTCAGCAGGGTGTTGAAGCACTGTCATGCCCATTTCCCCTGGCTCTGATGCTGGGAAGAGGCAGATACATTCTGGGATGTTGTTACTGGTTCTTCTTCACTTTCAAGGCACCTACTCCATCAGGAAGGCTGCAATTGTGACTGCAGCGGTGGCAGGAGCTGGAGTGCTTTTAGCAGCCGTTATCCTCGTGATCTACTGCAAACCCAAAAGTGAGCTCCTTCCCCTGTGGGTCCCTGCAGACCTGGCAAGCAGGAGATGGGACTGAGAGGGGACGACATGGCCCAAGCACCCGGGGGGCTGCAGATGCTGGAGCTGAAGGTGCTGCAGGGGCTTTGCTTTTGTTGCTGCTGCTGCTGACAACCACCCCTTGTTGCTTCTCCCCCAGGCTGTAGGATCTTCCATTTGACTGCAGACAAGGCTGTGAACACAGGTAGGACCTTGAGGCTCCCCCAGGCACTTCCCTCCCTCCCTCCTTCCCCCTTTTTCCTGGTGGGAACAACCTGGTTGCATTTAAAATCAGGAGGGAAATCATCCACTGCTGTGGCTTGGTACCAGAGTGTACCCTGACCCCAACACCTCCCCACACCCCCACCCTGCACGCATGGAAGCGAGGTACAAGAAGTGACCCAGACCATGTTCCTGAGGCTGAAGCTGTGCTCTTTTCTTGCTGGAAAACCTCATGCCAGCCCACCAAGAAGGAGCTGGGAGCTCAGCCATGAGATCACCAAAGGAAGAGGTATTTGAGGGGCAAAGATAAGAGCTGGCAGGAGATAGCTGGGGGATGAAGACAAGCAACAAGGGGTCATGTGCTCCATGGACACCACGACCACTGCCTGGTTTTCCTGGCTCTTGGAGCAGAGGTCGGAGGCTCCTGGCAGAGGTGGGGCAGCACAACAGTGGCCGCAGGGACCTGGCATTCCTTCGGGATCAGCTCCACCAGACTCAGGGGTTTAGGGTGCAAGTCCAGCCAAGAAATCCAGTGGAAGAAGAAACCATTGGAGCAGTTCCCATCTCCCATCCCTGATGTTCAGGATTGTTTTGTGATGCAGTGTCGTGCCCATCACTGCTACAACGGGGCCGATGCCTCGCAGGGACCTCATTGACTCTTTTCTCTTCAAATGTGCATGGTTTGCTGTTTCCATGAGCTGAAATAAAGCTGACACCAATGGGGGAATTCTCGCTTTGTGTTTTGCATTGGCTTGTGTCCCAGCACCAGGATCGTGGGCTTCTCCCATGAAGTCACTGAGATCCAGCTCTTCCATCAGGACCTGTGGGCAGAATGTCTCCCTGAAGCTCTCTCTGCACTGGCTGAAGCCTGCATTGCTGCTCCTCCACAGTGCTGCACAGGAGACACTGGAATTCTGACCCCAAAATGGGATTATGAAGGATTTAAATCCTCTCCCCTCCTCTGATGAGCCGAAGAATGAGCTGATGCTGCCATGGTGGCAATGTATGAAGAAGAGACGAATGCATCTTCCCTTCTGAAAGCAGCTGGGGATCGGGATCTTGTGCTGGAATGGGAAAAGCTGATTTGCACTGGCACATACTTCCACTGCTATCCTGTGTGCTGGAAGCAAGCGCCCTGCCCCCACCTCCCCTGGGGCAGAAAGGATGGTGGGATGAAGAGCAATGCTTCACCTCAACCCAGAGCCGCTCTGAACCCCTCCAGCAGCTCTGAGCCTGAGCCGGGCGCACTTTCAGCCGGGATTCCCACCCTTCCCATCCCAGCAGCACCACAGGTGGTGCAGGGGGATCCACCACAGCCTCTTCCCTTCCTGACCTTCCCCTCTTTCCTCCTTACAGAGGCCAGAGCAGAGTACACAATGGTGTATGCCCAAGTTGGCCCTTCCCAGCAGGTGAGTTTCTGCATGTTCATACGTGTGGCTGGACCAGGATGCAGATCGAGAGGGTCCCCACACGGGATGGGGATGACCTGGGAGCTGTGTGGTGGGTTGGGGAGGAAGGACAACAGCTGGACAACCTCAGCCTATTCGTTCCTCCTGGGAACTTGAATGGGGATGTGCTAGTGCTGGGGCTGCCCCAAGAGCAACCAGTGTGGCCACAGCCACCTGCCTGCACTTCCTAGTGCATCAGCAGGGCCTCTGTCCGCAGCCCCACCAAGCTTGGTTTCTTTGGCTCATGCAGGCTCTGAGATCCCTTTGCCCTGGAAACACATTTTAAAGCCTTTTCCCCAGGTATATCTGCAGGATGGCTCAAAGATGACACCAACCCCCAGAGGTGAGACCTCCAAAACCACCCATTCCACAGTCCAGGGCATAGCCCAGGTGAGTTGTGGCTCATGGCCATCTCCCCTAAAGGGGCTCCACCACCAAGCAAGGAGATGGGCAAGACCCCAGGGAGAGAGATGTAACCTCTGGAGCAACAGGCATGTGCAGATGGGTCTTCACTGGGCTTTCTTGGGCTCCAAAGCATCAAACCAAGCCCATGGCTCCCCTCTCTCTTGCCAATGGAGGGATTGTCTCCCAGGAGCCCAGGCAAAGCTTTTGTCCCTTTGCAATTGCAGACAGATGATGGGAAGATGGGCAGAGCCCTGACAGGCTGCTGGGAGCAGGATCAGAAATCCCTCTACTTGTTGATCAACTAACGAGAGCCCGTGGCACAGCTCTGGCACACGGTGCTCCTCCTTTTCCTACCCTCTCTGGAGAGCAGAAGGAACATAGAATCATAGAATCGATTGGGTTGGAAAAGACCTTTAACATCATCAAGTCCAACATTTACCCCAGCACTGCCAAGGCGACGACTAACCCATGTCACCGAGGGCTTTATCTACATGCTTTGTGAGCACTTTCAGGGATGGTGACTCCAGCCCTGCCCTGGGCAGCCTGTTCCAATGCCTGAGCACCCTCTGGGCAAGGAATTGTTCCTCAGCTCCAGCTAAACCTGCCTTGGTGCAGCTTGAGGCCGTTTCCTCTTGTCCCATCCCTTGTTCCTTGGGAGCAGAGCCCAGCCCCCTCCTGGCTCCACCCTCCTGTCAGGCAGTTGCAGAGAGCGATAAGGTCCCCCCTGAGCCTTCTCTTCTCCGCACTAAACCCCCCAGGTCCCTCAGCCCTTCCTCATCACACTTGTGCTCCAGGCCCTGCACCAGCCCCATTGCCCTTCTCTGGCCCCATACAGCACCTCAATGTCTCTCTTGCAATGAGGGGTCCAGAACTGTGGCTGCAAGTCCAACTCTCCTATTGCAAGGACATGAGCTGATGTTCCTGATGGGCCACAAAGATGCTCCCAGGGGGAATGGCTTGAACCTGTCAGAGGGGAGACTGTGATGAGCTCTTGGGCATAAGTTCTTCCCTGGGAGGGTGCTGAGGCACTGGCACAGGGGGCCCAGAGAAGCTGTTGCTACCCTATCCCTGGCAGTGGTCAAGGCCAGGTTGGACACAGGGGCTTGGAGCAACCTGCTCCAGTGGAAGGTGTCCCTGCCCGTGGCAGGGGTTGGAGCTGGATGAGCTTTAAGGTCCCTTCTAACCTAAACCATTCCATGATTCTGTGATTCCTGGGATTTGCGCTGTAGCGCCTTGCAGTTTGGAGCTTCACGATGGAGGTTGGGAAGACTCGAGGAGCCTCCTAACACCCTTTTTTACCTCTTTTTGTCCTTATACTTTTCAACTTGGCAATACTTTGGCTACTTCATTTGATTGGTCATGCGAGAGAAAGCAAGAATAACACTTGGAATATAGATATGGAAATGGATATGGAATATGGAAATATGGATAAACACACCTGCCCTCACCCAGGAGCTGCAGTTTCAGTTCTGGCTGCTTCTGCAGTGCTCCTGGTCCTGCTGGGGACCTTCAAGACCTCACAACCCCACCACCGTGCCCAGCACCACTTTATGCCACCAGCATAAAGTTTGTGGTCCCCTGAGACGTTGTTGGGGTCCACGGACAGGAGATGATCCAGCTTAGGGGCAAACAGGACACAGAATGTGGCTGATGCTGTTCCACTCCTCTCCTTTGATGTGCTTGTATATGAGGTTTTATTCTTGGATGACATATTTGTGTGGGAGCTTTAGGAGGAGAGCAGCTTTCCAAGAGATCCAGGGATGCTGTGCAACGCAGTACTGGCTGCATCCCACCGGGATGCACGTTCTGCAGCAGGGTCTGGATGGCTTCACCCAAAGCTGGGATTTACCAAAGCAGGGGATGCCCAGCGAGCAGGACACGGGGCACATCCCACCCTCCCTGCTCCCCAAATCCCCCCCAGAGCCAGCAACTGAGCCAAGCTCCCACAGTAGCACCAATTTGCCGGTGCTGCCGGACAGGCAGATGCTGGGAAGCCTCTTCCCATGCTGCTTCCCTCTGCTCTTTGTCTTGTCTGTGTAGGTAGTAAATTATTCAGGCTGAAACTGGAGATTTCTTTGAAGAACCCTCTAGGAATAAAAATGCCAGACACATCTGAGCTCCATTTCTGTCTGTGTATGATTTGAGCTCAAACCAGACCGTTATTGGGAGTAATTTGTTTGTTCTCTGCCTTTTCCTAATAGGTGTCTGAGTTTCTCAAATTCATGCTGATCAATTAAAACCATACCTTAGTGGGTCATGTGTTTTACCAAGGGATTTGTCTGTGTGGCACTAAATTTGTCCTTGTAACTCAAATCCCAAGCCTGGACAAGGCTTAAACCAGCAGTGGTGCCACCAAGGACTGGCCCAAAGGGAGCTGGGGCACTGCTGGAGCATCACCTCCTCCTTTGCCCATGTCAACAGCTGATGGGATCTATCCCTTATGCCGGTCATAGCCCAAAAATGCCTCCCCCTTCCCGGGGTGGTTTCTGGCCATTAATCACCCTATTTCATTGCCAGCACCTTTGAGCTCACAGGAAGCTGCTGGTGGGGCAGAAAGGGGAAGGAAGACACTGCAAGAGGGGAGATAGCAGTGAAGTCTCCGTCTCCGGTGGGGCAGAGGAGGATGGAGCCCCGAGCCGTGGGGACGAGCTGGCTCTGCATTGCAGTGCTCTGCTCCGGAGCTGGTGAGTGGGGTGACAGGGGGTTCCCTCAATCTATGGGGCTGGGGGACGAGGAAGAGGAGGAGGAAGGAGCAATGTGAAGGCAGTGGGTGTAACACCACAATGTGGGTGTAACACCACAATGCCTTCTCAGGGCACCCTTTGCAGCAGGGCAGGATGCTCCCCTGGACATTTCATGGAGGGAAAGGCTTGGGCCATCTGCTTTATGGCTTGGCTGGGGTCTGGCTTGGGTGCAGGGGGAAGATCAGGGATCCCTGGGCTCTCCCAGCATTGAGCTGGGCCACAGATCCCCCCCCTGAGGTCCCTCTGCCCAGCCCTTTGCTCGCCAAGGGGCAGGATGCTCACTGACCACCCGGCCCCTTTCTTCTCCACATCTCACCATGGGTTGCTTTGCTTGAGGACCCTGTTTCACCACCACAGAGCACCCGTTGGTGCTGGCACCACAGGCAGTTGCCCAACATCAGTGTGATGCTGCTGGTGACATGTGGCCCTGCACAACTTCCCACAAGCCCTGGACTTGCTGTTCCCAGCACCCACCGTGGCAATGCAAACGGTAGCATCTTCTTCCTTAGTGGGTGTTTGTCTCAGTGTGAAGCTGGCAGGATGGTAATCCCATGGATCCATTGGCATCCCCTGAGGCCAGAGGAACTTCTTGCTCCCACCTTGCCTCTCCCTAAGCCATGGTGCTGCAGTGCAGGCTGAGCTCCTGGTGCAGGACCATGGTAGGGCTGGTGCAACCACCAGCTCTGCAGCTCCGTTCCTGCTCCATAGGGGCAGTTTTTGTTTGGGGAGGCATTGACATGAATTAATGACCCTCATTGGCAGCTCTGGTCATCAAAGAGGATTCAGGGCATCAAAGCCCCACGGAGCGTGATGATGGCCTGGAGCTGCTGACAGACCCCAACACAACCCCTGGGGATATGGACAAGCTGACGACGTGGCCAACAGCCTCCCCAACCCCTCTGTGGAGCAGGGACCCCATCATCACCACCGTGCTGACACAAAGAGATGCTGCAGGGAACAAAACACGTGAGTCCCATGGAGGAAGGAGAAGATACAGCCTTGGGAATGTGCCACCACCCTGGAGGGTCCTGCATCCCACCAGAGACATTTGCCACATTGCCCTGGCCATCTCTGTGGGCAGCGTGCCCACATCTCCTCTCTCTTCCCTTAGGAAACGCATCAGCTGTTCCCATCAAGTACTGGTCCCCTGCCATTTTTGTGGTGGTCGCTCTGCTCGTGCTCTTCTTCACCTACCGGTGGACTAAGGGGGAAGGTGAGCTCCCCAGCGGGCCACAGCTGCCCCCCTTTTGATCAGCAACGTGTTGGGTTGGCAGGAAGAGGCAACAGCCACCTCCCAACCCACATCCTCAAAGCAGTGAGAAGAGCTGCAAAAAGTCAGTTATTCTGGTACAGCTGGATGAGGTGGGGTCTGGGTTTGTGTTGTGGGAGGGGGACAAAGAAACCCCTTGGCCATGGCTTAGCCCCATGGTGCGGGTTCCTGCTTGCTCGGTTTGGCTTTAAAAGTCCAGTGTTTAACCCGTAACTCCCTTTTCTGCTCAGTTGTGCACCTCTCGGGGCCAGCTCTGCCCTTTCCCCCCAGGGTTTCTCCTTCTCTGCTCTAACACAAACCTCAGGCTCAGCCTTTTTTTCCTCCTGCAAACCCCAAAGCTCACCCTTTTCTCAGGAGGGTCTTGCAAAGCCCTCGCAAAGCCTCTTGCAAAGCTGTTGTAATGCTTACGTCTGCCCCGGCTGCAGGGAGCTGGGACCGAGCCACCTCCACTGGCGACTCTTCAGGTGAGATGTGGTCACCCTGAGCCTTAGACCCTTCTTGACCTGGGCTCAGTGTCGTGAGCCACATCCCAGCTCATTGTCTTGCAGACTTGGGAGCCCTGGATCACACCAGCACCCCGAAAACAGCCGCTCCCCAGGTGAGCTGGGAGCTATGGGCAAGCCCTGTGCCTCAGTTTCCCCATCCACCACAGAGGAGGTGCACCCATCACCCAGGTGAGGATGATGCTCAGCGCAGCTCCTCAAGAAGCTCCTCTTGCAGGAGGAGAGAAAAGGGCCAGAGAAACCCCCAGCCCTGGAGCACAACGAAACCACCTTCAGCGAGCCAGACCCCACACCAGACCTGCAGGTATCGCACCCCAGTGCACTAAGCCTCAGTGCTGGGGCGGGGGGACACTGCCAGCTGAGCCCCTCCAGCCCATGAGGTCCCTGGGGAGGGTTTATAGGCCCCCCCCAGCACCTCATTTTGCTTCTCTCCAGACTGAGACCCCCTCAGCTACCAGTGGTCTCCACTGTTCCCAGGAGCCCGGTGCTGATTGAGTGTTCCCGCGGAGCCCAGTGGATTCCAGACATTCCCAAGGAGCACAAAGCCACCCAGAGTGGCAGTGTGGGGACTGAGAAGGGATGATGCTCCAAGCTGGGGGACCACAAGCACCCTGTGCACCCTCAGCCCTCCCTGTGGATGCCCAAATCTTGGTGGGAATGGGGAGCTGCGCAGGATGTAGCCCAAGGACATGGGGCTTGGGCTGCCTGAGCTGGGCACAGCTGAGCCAATAAAGATGGATTTCACACCAAAACCTCTGGCCTTTCCCTGCTGGGAAGGAAGCCCCATCCCACCCAGCCCCACTGTCACTTCTTCCCCATGTCTTGGAGCAGAGCAGAGCTGTTGGTGACACAGTGGGGAGAGAAAAGGTGCAAAAGCCAAAGGAAACACCAACGCTGGGTAACAGTGAGTAAGCGCTAACGTTGCTGCAGGGGGGCCCCCCACAAGATGGGGTGTATGGGGTGGAGGTGGGTGCTGGGGGGAGGGGAATGGGTGCTAGCACATTCGCTGTCACAGCAAGGTGACCACAGGCAGCAGCCCATGGGCAGGAAGAGGCTCTGCAGCCCACCTGGGGGATGTGCATGGGAGGACTCAACCCCCCAGCAAAAGGGGTTGGGAATTGCTTCCCCTCGGGAAGGGTTTGGGCATTTCTCCAGACCGCAGAGGGGAGGGAGAGCAGCAGCCTCTGCTCTCCTCTGCTCATCCCAAGCCCTTCACCATAACCCCCAAATACCTTGGTCCCCGAAAGCCTTGTTCATCCAAACCCTGGGCCCCCTTAAATTCTAAATCCTCGCCCCTACAAACCCGAAACCCTTGGTCCCATAAACTCCAAACCCTTGGTCCCATTAGACTCCAAGATATGTGCTCAAGGGGCTGGACATCTGTATGCACACCAGTGGAAGATATCCCTGCCTATGGCAAGGGGTTGGAACCAGATGAGCTTTAAGGTCCCTCCCAACCCAAACCAGTCTGTTATTCTATAAATCCCAAATCCTTGGTCCCCATAAGCCCCCAAACCTTGACCCCACACAGTGAAATCCTTGGCTCCATAGACTCCAAGCCCTTTTTTCCACAGACGCCCAAAACCTCGGCCCTATAAACCACTACCCCTTGACCCTTTTGACCCAAGCCCTTGAATCCTCAACCTCCAAGCCCTTGGTGCCCATAAACACTAAACCTTTGTACCCCCATAAACCCCAACCCCTATAAAGCCCAATCCTTTGGCTTCTTAAACCTCAAAGCTTGACCTCCATAAACTTCAAATCCCTCATCCATCAACCCCCAAACCCCTGGCCCCATAGACACTAAATCCATGGCCCCTCCCAAGCCCAAGCCCTTGTCCTGCACCAAGCACCCTCCAAGGGCAGGATGAGCTTCCCTCCCGCTGCTGTCTTGACGTTGCATCCTGCCACTGCAGCATCTCTTAAGCAGGGACCTAAACCTGCTGCTTCACCCCAAAGCACCAGGGGTGGGAAGAGAAAATAAATAAAAAAAAAAGTCAAAATGGGTTTATTTTTTA